TGACAGACGATTTCCAAAGGTTCGTGGGATGTTTCCAAATCTAGTATGACATTTTATTTAAAATTTTGCCATATATGACTGTGTTTTCGTTCAGAGAATTTACCATGCACTTTCTTTAAAACAGGCAAAAGGATTCCCGAGCCAGATTAATTGGGAACCGCTTAAGCTCCCGACGCCTGTTCAATCACTTAGTGTAGCCAGAACGTCAAAGTGTTGACACAAGACTTGCAGATTTAAGCGGAAATGCCGTCTTCTCTGTACGCTCTGTTGTTACCTCTGTATACAATCAGCAACTTCTTCATAAGAAGGAGAGTAACACGACACTGCGTAGTTTGGAGGGAGATGAAACTCCACTGTGGGGGAGAACGAGAGTAGGAAGTTGAATTGTTGAAAGGGCTCATGTCAGCGGTCGATCTTTGCCGAATTATCAGCAATAAAGCCGTCAGCCACATCTCGAACAGAGTCACTAAGTGTTTAGGGCTTACTAAAGATCTTGCGGATAGTTCGGTTGCGTTTTGGGTGCCACCAACATTTGAGGCTTTCTCACTGGAGGTCACGGTTGCGGCTGTGATCGGTTTTCAATAGTAAGTCGGATTCTTCCAGTTAAACGTATGCCGGGGAAAAAAGAACCTTCTACACGAAAGCTTCGCCAGGGGGCCTCGATTTTGCATGCACCGATGCACGCATTGGATACGAGGGTGCCTATACAAGGAACCGTTTAACGGCAGAATTACACCTGGGTTGAGACTGCCTGGCTATATTGAGCCAAACGGATACCGACAGAGTTCACAAGCTCGATGGTGGGCTGCCAACACGGCAAAGCGACAGACACAAAGTATGCGATTGTGCATGGCTCTATCAACGGAGCTGAAAAAACTCTGGCTACGCTATCAGGAGTCAAACAGTCACTGGACGTGTACCAAACCAGCTAAACAGGTCAATAACGGCACCTTAGCACAACATTAAAGTTTCAAGTGTGTTAAGACAGAGGCTAGTAGGATGTTATATTGAGAACCTTCAATACTGAGGTAGATGATAAGCATTGATTACAATTTTTACCTGTCGGTTGTCCCCTTTAACCAAAAAAACTTTAAGTTGAAAAAAGATAACGGAGAAAATGTAACTGAAATGACTATCAATTCTGAATAGCGGTTTCCGGTCATAGGGTTGCGATCTTCAGGGGTGGATGCATGATAACGAGAAAACCTACGCGGAACAAGAAAACCTACAATTTGACCCGCGCACTTAAAGAAAACCAAATTTATATGCCTAACCAATTTCAAAAAACAATTGCACGCATGATGAAAAACTAACTTTTTCACGCGCAGGGTGAAAGATTGAAACTTAAGCATGTAAAAATGCTACATTTTCTCCATATGACAGGACGCATGAAGGCA